CTTCAATAAGTCGGAAAATTTTTGCACGTGGAAAAAACACCACAAACGAGTTTGTTCTCTGGTGAGTGAAATTACGCGCGTTTCTGTCCATCAAAGAAGCACCGGATGCCAGGGTGTCATCTCAGTGGCCACAAGAAGTTTCTGCCACACCAAAAAACCAAAAGAGCTTCAACCTTCCCATTAGCAGCGTCTATAGTCCAGATTTGTGTTTGTAACATTCTGAATTGCATTCGAGTTCCGTTGCAGTTTTTATCAACGAAATTCCCATCCGAATGTGGCTCGACACAGCTTCAGATATCAGGTTGCTCTCATTTTCCAGTTAAGATGTGATAGGAAAACCCGTTGTGTCATTCAGGAATAATCTGGCCCAAAGTGCATCTAACAATGCCACACCACTGGCTGGCGAGTTAGCCTGTAGTGTATCCTTCAACAATCCACATCCCTCAGGAACTTGTTATTTCACTGAACATTCTCGAAATCGATTGAAATGATAAACCTTATATTTTCAACGCACTTTTATCATCTATGTGAAGTGCTCGGAAATGTTCGTCTTCAATCATTGCAGGACGCTTTGCTAAAATACTCAAAACAAAGTTTGATGATGTCGTTCAAAGTGGCATCGGATGGTGTATTAAAGCCAAGGCAACCTTCTAAATCCAACCCTGTTCCAAACTGATTTTCAGACCGAAGCGTCCCGTATCGTTTGCCGATCTCGCAGCTGTCTAGAATGAAATTGTTCGTCTTCGGCGATCCGGAGTTATTCAGCCGGCAAATTATTCATCATCCGAAGCTACTACTGTTATCATAAAAAAGCAAACGGCAGGGCAGGTGTATGTGCTGATTACTCCACTTGATTGAAAGCCGCGTTAGAATCTCGCTAATACCCAATACCAGCACCAGAAGATATGTTCACGAAGCTCGGTTGTGGAAATTTTTTCGCAAAGCTGGATCTCGCTGATGCTTACTTTCAAAGTACCCGATGACTCCAAACGACTAAAAACCAACATATATCGCTGTCTGTTTCAATTTAACCGTCTGCCGTTTGGGTAAAATATGCACAAGCAATATTTCAACAAACAACGAATGACAATCTAAACGGTCTATCGGGAGTTCCTGCCTAACTAAATGACATCATTCTTATACATTCTGGTCAAGAAGAACCTTTGCATTGTTTGTATTGTGTACACTAGCAAATTCAGCAATTCGGCTTGCATTTTCGTGCAAAAAATGCGCATAATTTCCCACATCCATCAAATATATTGGATTTAGGAAAAATGCAGGGTGTCTCATAATAGACGCAAGATTTAATTGGGTGAGCAAAACGCAGTCAGTCAGAGGAAGCCAATCCTTATCATTAGCCGCATAAAGGAAGCTTTTTGTGCAAGTGTTAACATTTTCTTCTGTTTACGATTAGTGTCACTATGCGCATTGAAATTGTGAAACTATTATTCCTTTGATGAAAGCGCACCGCTGCATCTCGTGGTTACGAAACCAAGCATGGTCTCATCAGGGGTCCTTCCACCGTGTCGACCAATGCACACTTGATTGCGAAATTTGAGTCCGTATTGGATTTTCCTGCCAAAAGAGTAAGTCTCTGAGTGATGACAGTGCGCTCACTGTGCAGAGTGCCTTCGAGCACCATGGCATCTTCATTAAGAACTCAGGTGTCTCAGTTGACCGGCATTCCGCGCTCCAGCGTGTATTGTATTATAAGACGCCACCTTCATCTCTACCTGTATCATTTCACTTTATTACAAAACGTCACGGGAGAAGACAAGGAGCAACGTGCCACGTTCACTAAATGGCCGCTGGACAGCGAAAAAATCGTCCCCAACATTTTAAGGAGCGATGAAGCAAATTTTTCTGCGGATGGCTACTCAACAAGCACAATTGCGTGATATGGTCCCGTGAAGCTCCTTATGAGTGCATCACCCACAATCTCCACTTCCCTCATGTCTGTGTGTGGATAGAACTTTCCTCGAAGTGTTTCCTTGGTCCCTTTTTCTTGGATGCTACGGTTTCTGGCGACAGTCACCTATATATGCCGCAGACGCATGTTATATAGCACCTCAAGCAGCACAAGAAGTCATCGACCGCCTTTCAACAAGATGGCGCTCCATCCCACTACTCATACCCAATGAGAAATTTCCTGCGAGAGCAATTTTTGATTAGAGGAACTGCTCGTGAATTTCCAAACGTTTGGCCCACGACGTCACCCAATCTCACACCTCTGGATTATTGGTATTGGGGAATGATCAAGGCTCGCGTATATCGTGAAAATTAACCGAAGAATTCGGTGGAGTTAAGGGCAAGAATTGAAGAGTGTGCACGAGTGACGCTTGAAAAAGTTGAACAATGAGAAATTTCCTGCGAGAGCAATTTTTGATTAGAGGAACTGCTCGTGAATTTCCAAACGTTTGGCCCACGACGTCACCCGATCTCACACCTCTGGATTATTGGTATTGGGGAATGATCAAGGCTCGCGTATATCGTGAAAATTAACCGAAGAATTCGGTGGAGTTAAAGGCAAGAATTAAAGAGTGTGCACGAGTGACGCTTGAAGAAGTTGAACATGCTGTTTCTTACATCTCACACAGCCTCCAACTTGTTTTAGAAGAAAGGGGTGGTTTAATCAATATTTTTAAATGTCAATTTGTTTACAGTAAACCTCTCTAATACATGTACGTCCACATAGAAATGATAAATGTTTAAATTGGTATTAATGTTCTAACATGGGTATCATTTTTTCCTCTATTATGAGACAGCCTGTACACTCATTTGCAAATCGATACGGCTTACACGACAGACTCAACTAAATCTCTAGGTTATAATATTCCACAACTAACGAAAATCGTCGTCATCCAAACCCAAAAATATTCTTCCCGTACGAGGAATGTCAGCACCGACGATTTTGCACTCATCCTCTTATTAGTAACCTATTAGGGTTCAGCTTTGCTTGACATATATTGTGTCCTTGAAACACTTAATAATATTTTAAGGAACGATGTGCCTTGGAACTGGTCACATGGGCGCCAGTCCGCTTTCAACAAAGTAGAATCACTTCTCAGCTTTGATTTACTCACAGATTACAATGCAACCCTGGATTTCACTGCTGCTCCAGATGCAACCAACCATGGTATGAAAGCTGTTACCTGTAGGGTTTCCCCTGACAGGAATGAAAAATCAGTTGCTCACACAGCTAGTTCCCACGCAAATACAGAGCGAAATTGTGCTCTAGATCGCAAGAGAACCTTTAGCGATGGTCCTCACCATCAAAAAGTTCCAAAAATGCTCAATGAATATTGACTTCGTTTCATCATTGATCCAAAGCCGCTTCTCGGCGTTTTTTGATCGAAGAAAGGTATTTCTGTTTATAGAGCCAACCATTTGCGTCGTCGGGATACGAGGCTTCCGGGCTACGACTTCTCTAGAGAGTATCAGTGTAATGATCCTATTGGCAAACCTGATGCATCATCAAGATTCATGGATTCTCACCCTCAACAACCCGAGGGTGCTGTTGTTGGCGTGACAACGATGGAACTAGAAGCCAAAGTAACGCTTGCTACTACAATCCGTGCGCTTCCAGTTACTTCTGCCGTAGTTCGCGACGCCACTGTGCGTGATTCGTTACTTCAAAATACACTCCATTTTCACCAGACACACTGGTCTGCGGTATGTTCCGGTGAACAACTTCAACCGTTCTGCCAACGTCAGTCCCCACTTTCCGAGGTCGATGGTTACAGAGTGATGTCTCTAAACAATTTCATTGTGGACATCTGGTATTACCGCATGAAGGCACCAAGACATAGAAATGTTTACAGACCGAGTATGGATAAGCAGTTAGAACTTGTACGCAAGTGCTCGAAGCGTCCCCTCGGAAAACCGAATTATGTTTATGGCCCTTTTATGGCCCGTGGTCACGGCCTCATGTTGATTTTGCGGTACCAATCAAAGGTCAACAATATCTGATCCTAGTATCTGTTCGTAGCTTTATTCTGATTCCATTATAACAGTACGTATTTTGTCAGTTGCACAATCGTTTTTTGTTCGAATGTGAAAAACTACGAAAACACGCACTTATACAATTTCACGCAATACAAAGGTGGCCACGTCGGGTCCACCAAATTTGTAGTGGTTTGGCTACCCAGTAAGTTACTTTACCAGGAATGCGTGACAAAGGAATAAAAACTAACTACGCTAGACTGGATATAAAATAAAGAGATCAAATGGAACAGTCTCATCAGTAATTGTTCTCTTTAAAAAAAGTTCGTCGTTGGCCCAGGTCAGCGAATAAACAATAATCCACTCATGGTTGTCCGGAGGTCTTCTGAAGACTTCCCGCATATAATAGATTTCGAAGATAGTCTGAAATGTTTCGATACTAGAGTTAGCACATGAGACTCGCGAATGACTGCTGCAAGCGCAACCGAAATCAGAAAATGGGGTCGAAGCACGTGACCACGTTTGTACTGCGTGTGATTGTACAAGTGCGCGTTTTTGTAGTTTTTCGTACTCAATCGAAAAACGGTTATGCAATTGGCAAAATAGTTAGTGTTGTACTGGAAGCAGAGTAAAGGCACAAAACACCACATTACTCTCACACTTCAGCGTTGACCGTGAAAGGGGAAAACGCTCGAATAATGAAAGTAATGAATCAAACAGTTGCTCACTTCAAGTTTCATACCTGTCAAATGAACAGAAGGCACTGGCGGACCAGAACAAGCTCGGCCCGGGAAACTTGGCCAGAAGCTCCAGCCCGCGATTGCTGGAATTCGTGTAGACCAATGAGCGGTCTGGCTTTTCGTTAGTGTTATTAGGGCGGGTGCAATCTGCGAATTATCGGGTGATGGAGAAGGCGCAATGCTTTGCTGTTTTACGTGGTCTTCGGAGCGCAAGACATCTCCGTCCGAGTGTCTTAAAACAATTAGTATCGAGGTACTCGAAAATGGTAAAACCTGTATGCATCGTGTTTTCTGTCAATGAACTTTCTTATCATGCAGTTACCGGAAACCAATTCTTTCGCTATGAATGTGTTCCGGGGGAAGCTCAACGTCAACGAGGTTCTGCCATTTCCTAAAGGTTTGTGCCTCATCAGATTTCACAATTCATAGCCCTAACTTCTGAGAGGCTGCAGCATCTACAGGACATTGTTACCCCGCTTGAAAAGTTTATTGAGGTTTGGCGTTGCAGTAGTTGATGATTCGTTTAGACAGAGGTGGACGCTGTGAAGCACGATGCGGAGGGGAAGTTTGACGAGAAACTATCCCGTGTACTAGGCGACATGGGAGCTTATGGACTGCAGGCACCAGAAGAATACCAGGGTCTGGGTCTGGGAAATTCCGAGTACGCTCGACTGGTGAACATTATTGGCCAGAGTGATCTTGCGCTGGGCATACATTTAGGAGCTCATCAGGTACAGTGGTTTTCCATAACTATCCCTTAGAGTATCGGCTACAAAGGAATAGTTCTGTATGGCACCGAAGCCCAGAAAGCGAAGTATCTGCCGGACTTGACCACAGGAAAAGCTATTGCTGCCTATTGTCTAACTGAACCAGGCTCAGGGTCTGATGCTGCCTCAATTCAGACAACAGCAAAACTCTCACCAGATGGGAAGCACTATATTCTGAATGGAACGAAAATATGGATCAGTAACGGTGGGCTGGCGAAGATATTTACGGTATTCGCGAAGGTACGTTTGTGATTGTTCGTTGCCGAAAGATTTGCAATATTATGTTTGAGTTATTGAGACACCATCCAGCCTCGTTTTTACTTGCTTTCCGCAAGTCCTCCTAAGGTTGTCATGTTGACACCTAAAATTCCAACATGAAAATAACATTGAAAACCGAAGTCCCTGGTTCAAGGGAACGTTATCGTAAGCAGTTAGATCTACATACAGGTAATATCAAGCATGCGATATCGCGCGTAAAATACGGCGTTGGATATAAATGGCGTAAGTAGTCAGGGAGACAAGTGCATCCTAACATCTAAGGCGAAACCTTCCTGTGCCCTATCACATCTGAAACGGCTGTCGAAGGTGAAAGTGGAAATGGGCAACAATTCTAAATATCTGGTTCAAAGCATAGCATCACTAACCAAGCTACACCCCGGCCTTCCATTTAGTTCTTTCGAAACGCTTCGCTATGACTGAAGAAACATGTGATGTGGAAAGATCTCTGATCGCTCTCTCTGGTTGTTGACTACATGGGTCGATTTCTTCGAGGTCCACTCAGATTTCGCTGTCATACATGGACAAGGACCTCGCACGTGATGGAAATAAAACCAATTTCATCTCCTTAACGTCCATTTAGAGCAATCATAATGTAAGTTGGCTCTTCATGGACAGAAAATAATGGGCTTCCAACTGTAACAATCTTTTGGTGCCTAGCTGGCGTTGTACCCGAAGGGAGCACGACGCTTGGGATACTGCTAGGTTTTCAAGTCTGAACGGCAACAGTCAGGATGCTTAGGTATTGTTCGAATCACGAATCTCTGATCAATAGGTTCACTTCTCAACTATTGAGGTACTTTGAGTTCTTCGAGGATAATGAAACGCACTCTCCATAATCCATTTCAGAGCACAGATACACAGTTGTTCGCCTTCTAGCGTAAAATCGCTTTCCCTTTCCTTAAGGAAGAGATTAAAGTTTGGGGATCGAACGTGAGCGTTAAACTCCTAAATATTTTGAAAGTCATTTTGAACAACCATTGTTTCATATCCGTGGTCTGACGGTTTTCGCACCTCAGCGACCCATTGAGCTACACAGGAGGTGTCCCCGCTACACTCACAGTCTCTCGTACTAGGTTGGTCAGTGATTACAGGTCTCACAAGTACAGTCTCCTGGCCCTCCAGACTGGGGCATGGAACGTGGCGATTTGCTCCGCAAAAATGATAATGCATCTGTATTTCCCGCCAAGCCGCTGCCTTGCGGTTAGGCTTTTGAGCCAAAGGCTTTGGTTGAGGACCCAAATCGTCCTGTCTAGGTGTGGGCGCCCTGGCAGTATCCCAGTCCTCGTACAACCATGGCATTTACAGGTGACGATACTCATGCCACATCAGCCATCGCGTAATGCCATCAGCCGGGTCGCCTTACTCGCTGCATAAAACAGGGCGGGTAAGTGAAAACGTGCTACTGCTGATGCATTCCTTCTCTTTCACATTTTTCTTCCCCTCCTCCCATCCAATTGACAACTCTCTCCTTGTAGGCCCAGAACTTAGGACTGATGACTCCGTTCGTCTTGTATCGGCTTCGCGAGCAACATCTGCTCGTCACACGGCGCCGACACCCTCAGGTATCTCCAAACCAATCTTCAAGCCTCGACACCCAGTCTGTCTGGCTGTCTTCAAGCAAGCAGGACAAAAGCTACTGTTTCTGTCACACTGGACTCGCTTGGCATCGATATGTGCTCTGTCTCAGAAACAAGAATTCAAGATGCAAGCACAATAGTTGATTTGACCGCCCCATCACTCCCCACTCGCTTCCAGCTACGCATCCTTGGTGATCCAGAGGCTGCTGCGACGGGATTTGCAAGTGTTGGTATCGTCCTAATTCACTGGGTGGAAGTATTCTTACTTGACTGGATGCCTGTTGGTAGTCGCCTCTGTGCGGTTCGTCTGACAACGTCCGAAAAATCTCACAAGCGGTAATTTGACCGATGTTTGTTTATTGCCCCAAATGACCAGCTCTGACGCCATCAAAGCTAGGTTTTATGACGCCCTAAATGGCATCTTGCGGCGAGCTATAAAGCTCAGGTATTGTGGTAGTTGCCGGAAATTTGAGTCACAAGTGGACAGGCTTAGCGTATCTGAGACTCAATTAGGTCGACTTGGATTGGACTCGGCACGTCCAGACAATGGTGAACGATTGCTTCAGCTGAACTGCTGACTTCCGATATAGCCGAAGTCAATAACTGACTACCGATCGCTTTGGAACGCATTTGTGGATTCCGACCACGCACTCGTCCGGAGTCACTTCTCCCTACGTTTTCCAGGGACGCATGAGGTGCGGACAAGTCGCTTGGCAACTGAGAGACTGGCAGATCCGGATGTTAGATGAATTTACCAGGATCGTCTTCTAGATTCTCTTCCAAATGTTCTACCGTCAGACGCGAACTCATACTGGAATGAGATTGCCACCTCTCTGCATAGTGCTGGGAATTTAGCCTGTGGCATAGCACCACCAGGCGCACTGCTTAAATCTCGACGAAATATCCCAACCGGTCCCGAACTTAACCTGGTGCGACGAATTATCAGGCGTCAAGTGAAAGTGAGCGTGTGAGCCGACCGGGAAGTGTGGTAGACACAGAAAGCCAAAAGGAAATGGAATAGCCCAGAAAGCCGGTAATGTCCGAAGATTATTTCAGTCGATCCAAGCGACTGGTTTTCGGAAAACACCTTTGAATGAAACCATCAAGGATCTAAAAGGAATGAGCATCCTGATCGAAGATGAACGCCCCTACCGGTGGGCCACCAGCTGCCACTCATCTGGAGCCCACAGTTGACATAGAACCCTGGACGGCGAACGTGGAACCACCTGCCTCAGAGGTTTGTGATTGCATATGTTCTCTCAAACGCCATCGAGCATCTGGTCCATATGACTTCCCACCCGCATTCAAAGATGGGAGTGAAGTCCTCGGTCAGCACTTGTCTGATTTATTTGCTTGCGTTCGGGGATGGGAGTCCATATAACTGGGGAGAGTCGGTGATAGTTGCCATTTTCAAAAAAGGGGCTGGTAGTGAGTGTGGTGGCCACAGGAGAATTAGCTTGACAAGGTTGTTGGCGTCACTTGTTATTCGTCGCCTTATGGTGGCTCGTGAAACAGCGACTCGAGAGCAGCAAGCGGGATTTCGGCCTGTTAGGTGTTTGCGTCGACCAAATCTTCACTCTTCGTCAGGTGCTAGAACAACACCATACATATAAGTGATCCACAATTCTAGTATTCCTGGATTTTCAATGCGCATTTGACTCGGTTGACCGTTTTGTCCTTGACATGGTTGCCCAAGAAGGAATGTCGCGGAAGTTTGTGAACATAATTAGCTCTTTGAATTCTCGGACTTCCGGCGTGCGAGAGTATACAGCGATATCTCCAGAGGCTTTCGTACATAAAGCGGTGCTGTCAGAGATACCCACTCTCTCTGTTCCTGTTTAAATTCGTGATCGATGAAACCATGAGATGAACGCTGGAAGGTCTCCAAAACCCCAGTGTTTATATAGCCGAGGACAAAAACCTTGTCGATCTGCAAAATGCAGACGACATCGTTATCATCTCCGAAGAGGAGCAGAAGGCGCAGATGTTTTCGGATGAGCTGACCAAAGTCATCCCGTCCGTTGGTATGCACTTTGCACCCACAAAGTGTACGGTCGTGCTCGTGGATATGCAGTCACTGAACACGCTACTTACAATCCAGGGAGAGGTGCTGGAAGTTGTGAAACGTTTCACGTATCTTGGAAGTTGTATTAGTTCTGATTGTAGTGACAGATGAGGTCGACGCACAAATCTGCAATGCTCGGGTTGCGTTCGCTAATTTGAAACACCCATGGAGTCAGATTGGTTTATCCGTGAATCTGAAGGGACGTGTGTATCAAGCTACAATGTGGGCTGTTTTGTTGTATGGACGTGAGACTTGGTCTATTCGAGTAGCTGAACTGAGACGTCTTGAGGTGCCCGACAAGATGCTCGTACAACCGGTGCGTCAATTAAACACTGACCCAAGAAGAGTATCTGTAACGTCTCCAAACAACTGGAAAGAGCTTTTCAATAGAGCGTCTGCATGTCGACTTCTGCTTGGGCTCAGACAATCTTGCAGTATCCCAATTCTCGTGCCTCCTTCGGGTGGCGTGGTAATTAGACACCGAAAGGGTGTTGCAGCTAAACGATTTATTTCACTACCAAGTTGAAGTGGAGTTATCCAAGCCGCATATGGAATTCCATCATGGAGACCATCAAGGTCACTTATCTAAACATTTCATCGGGTTAGTGTGTGAGTGTGATCTAGGACACGGTGAGGCTATCATAATGTGGGATTGATGTGATCGGGAACCCAGTGGGAAGCAGCTAGGACATAGATCCTATGCCTGAGAAATGATTTAGGATCGGATCAGGTATCTTATGACCTTTAGACAGGCCAGTCTCGGTTTTAAGGCATGTGCCAAGTTTACCAAAAAAATACTGGTAAACAAGAATAACCAAACCAAGCTGAATAGGAATTGTATTGAGATTAGTTCGCCATGTTCCTGAAGCCTTGAAATCGTCTTTAACGTGGCGGTTGATTGTTTTGTCCAGTTTCACTCATTCAAAGGTTCCATACCATGATCCCCAGTAGAGACGGAAACAGGTGCAGTGTTGGACACATCCTGTACTGTATACCTCACAACCTTTCAGACTGTCTCGACTGGCCAAACAAAGCAACAGTTTTCGTAGTAAAAGCCCATTGGATGACATCTATAGCACCAATATTAGCTTTTCTTGCCATATAGATGGTATTAGTTGAGTTATGGTTAGATAACCGTGAATGGTTGGCCAGTGGGGTTGACAAAGTGCGAACAAGTTTTACCTTCAACTCTCCGTGGAGGGAGGATAGTTCCAACGCTATTCCAAGCTCTTCTGGTGGCTGTTTAGCCATCATTGGTGGCACCTGAGTAACCCAACGAAATCTCATTCACGTTGTGGTTGATGGTTCTTATTTTCACACGGCTCAATGCCTCGTTATTCGATATGCACTTTGTTGCTATAAGTCCCTGTGTTGTTCCAATTCAATGTACAGTGCTCTACATTGAAGGACATTCATTTTTTAGCTGATGGTTCTTGCGCAAAACTGACGAAAACCGAGCTATACTTCTGTGATACGACCGCGTTTTTAGTGCGATCGAATGTATCCCGTTTTTGTGACAATAGAAAACACTGGTGACCGAAACTGTAGCAACTGAATCCAGCATGATACTGGTACATGGTTTATAGCTGATAAACTGACTAAAATGAAATTGCGTGACATATATGTAAAATGATATTTTGATGCCTTCCACCATTACCACCGCCCTGACTGTCGGTGCCGAGTACTGAGACCGGTCGGTATGGCGTTTAATTTAGATAACGCTGTAGGCGTGTGAGGTGAGAACAATAATATGAAACTGTACTGAACTAGTACTGCGAGTGCAGAGAGCGAAACAGGTCATTGAAAAATGCGGTCTATTGTCGATCGAGAATAAGCGCCACCGTTTGCGTAATGCCGCCATCCAAATGAGTACCCCTGGTCAGTGGCAACCCATTCCCGCAAATGGAATGCACCAGCATGGTTCACACCAGATGTACTTTCCTGCATGCTAAGGATGAAGCTCATCTAGAGGATGAACTGGAAAGAACGAAGGGGACTATGCTACCGGTTTCCAGGATCGTCTGTCCGAGCCATCTTAGTATGCCAAATTGATGTCAGAAATCCATAACTACGTACGTAGATCTCTCAACCGTCGGCTTATCAAGAGTCTGAAGAACGGGGGACAGAGGAAGGTGATGGGTTGCAAAGCCTCAGGAAGTGAGGAAGGCTTTCGCCGCGCCATATTTTAGCTGATTGGATCGTCTGGCCAAAAGACGATGGCTGTAGGCAAAGCGATTCACGAATGAACTGGAATGCAAACCTCGTGCGTGAAGGTCCATCAGTCAACGCGGCACAATTCCCTGTGGGCTGGTGGAAAGCGAGCTCAGTTCACGAACCGTGAAGACCAGATCAACTTCTGCCACTCTTCGATGTCCTTGACGAAAGTCAGTCACGCCACATAAGTCACGCTTGTCAGGACAGGTATCGCGCACTTCAGATGTATATTTGTCTTACATAGCTTTACTTCCCCAGCTGTGTGCTGGGTTAAAAGTTACTGAAAGGCGGATAGTCAAAGCCGTGAAACGAACTATGAAAGCACAAGCCAGTAGGCTCGTATGGGTTGGAGATAGGAACAGAGATCATGTGACCCGAATAAAAAATTGTCGATGTAACTGGCTACTATTGCTTGTTTACGCAGTTCATAGCGTTCAGTCGTGTCCAGTCCAAATAGCTTCATTTTCGGCGAGCCGACTGGGTTATCTCTGATAAATAATTGTTCATGCACTAGTTTCCTATTGAGCTCAAGATGTATGGGTAGTTAAGGCGCGAACTTGCTGACCGGAAGGTTCGAACCGAACCTCAGCATATCGACTGCTGTCGCCTAGCTTTGGACAGCTTGGCCCTATCTTATTCATTGTGAATCCTGTGGGTGGCATGACAGCTAGGCACCGAAAAATTGAACGAACTTCAACGAATGTCAGTCTCCTATTCCTAGGTGAGCGAAACCTTTGCAGCCGAAACCAGCGTAGCTTTAGTACACGGTTTATAGCCTATTAACTGAAGGCATCTGAAGCGGTATTTGATGTATATTAACTTCACATTCACGCGCTTATGTCACATTGACTCCAGGTGTGCCTGAATTATACAAATGGAGGACACGTCGGATACAGGTTCTGAAATCAATGAGCTTGTTTGTATTACCACAACGGTCACCAGAGCAGCTTTGTCGAGTTCGGAGATATGCACCTCCGCTGACCATATACTTGTCCGAAGTGTAGAATCTGTGGGCAGACAACTCTTGCAATGAGTGAAGTCCGCCAAGGGCTTATTATTGTTGTCTCATGCTGGCTACAATGCGTTTCCGGTGACAGCCAATATTCATGGTCACCCCCTTCATCCCACTTTTGGAAGTCGAAGGGGCCAGGTGGCTCAAGTGGTTAGAGCGCGAATTTACCGACCGGAAGGTCCGCGGTTCGAACCCGACCTCTGCCTCTCGACTTCCTCTGTCTAGGCTTGGGCAACCTGACAGTATTCCAGCCCTCGTGCTTCCTTCGGGTAGCATGGCAGCTAGGCACCGGAAGGGTGTTACAGCTGAGAGTAGTTTTCAGTTCCATACCCACAAAAGAAGCTCATAGATTACGTGGACCGTCACAACTCGGTCGAGGTAGCTCAGTGATTGGGACGCGAAATTACTGGTCGGAGGATCCATGGTTCGAATCCAACATCAACATTTCAGCTGCTCTTGTCTAGGCTTGGGCAACTTAACAGTATGTTATCCTTCGTGCTTTCTTCGAGTGGCACGCAGCTGGGAACCAAACGGATGTTGCAACTGATTGATTATTATTATTTGATTAGCACTCGGTTCCGTGTGCGTGTAATATTCGATTTTTCGTTACACAAACCTTCAAATTTATCGGTCCGTGTTCAGACGGTCTAACTAGGTTATCAAAATCTACTCCGTACAGCTGGAAACAGTGTACAAATGACAAGCTGGTGCTCCGTCTCCGCTGCAGGCCTCCGAAATAAGGCTCTTTTACATATCACTGCCCGCATTCTTGGACTGAACTGTATTTGAAAGTGTTTTCATGTTATCGTCTATCTTTTCTGATGTTTACCACAGACACCAGTCACTGACGAGGATGGCAAAACTACGGATAAAGTCACAGCTTTCATTGTTGAACGAGGGTTCGGAGGCGTCACACACAGTCAGCCGGAAGAAAAAATGGGCATCCATGCTTCAAATACAACGGCCCTCTACTTTGATGATTGCAAGGTGAGTACTAGCGGCGCTTATATTTACCAGTGAACTACTGCAGATGAGCTGTTACTCCGTCCATCTGGTGGCACCGACTTCAAAGTGGTCTAAAGTGCTTAGAAAAACATTCGGTCTGTTTCAGGTGACTCGTCTCTGACTTGCATAGCTGGTCGGAGTTAGCATAAGGTATGACGTGTTTGTCGGCTCACATGTTGCCCCAGGAATTCTCACTTTTTTCCTCTTGTCCATGCATGGTTTGTATCGTGCTGGCCGAGGAGCTGCGGGCAAAACGTTCGATGTCCGAACCCATCTCTGACTTTTCGATTGTTCTTCTCTGTCTTTGGTCTGCTCAGAAGCACCTAGGACCTGATGCTACTCCGAGTCATCCCACCCCTTGAAAGAGTGACAGATATGGATGTTCCGTTTTTTCTCTTCTCAGCAAAACCACCCAGGATGACGTCTGTAAGGCAATTCCAGATCAGTGAGTCTAACACATTGCTTAAGGTTCCTACGAGTTCAGGTCTGTGCTTTGTTCGCCTAGGATACCGCATTTGATTGTTCCGAAAATGAGGAGGCCGCTGTCGTCACATACGCAGCACGTCCAAGGTTGCTTAGCCCAGACCTTCCAGCATGGGTTTTGGATTCATCTATGAATTCCCGTTTTTCCAGGCAATGAGGAATATGCCACTGCAGGTGGCCCGTACTTCTATGCATTTTATTGTTTTTTTTTGCCTCTCGACTTTCATTGCATCTCCAGTGACAATATGTAAGGGTTACTGAGATGTGATAGTTGATCGGAATGTTTTTTTAGGAGGCAGTCCTCCTCCTCCCATCCCCGTCGCCAGTGTTATGTCCTCTACTAATCAGTCAATCAACGGAATTGAGAAGCCTTGAGAATAAAGTACTGCAGCAACTGAACAGCCAATATCGAGATTCAAAAGAATCAAGAATGGAATGGACTAAAACAGTCCAGTGAAAGGCTGTAATAGAGAGAGAGAAATGTTGAGCATTGAAACATAAGTTATAGTCAACAATATGAATATGTTTGTTAGGAGGCAGTCCTCCTAACAGTTTTCTCGCTACACTCGCTACTTGGCAAGACCTTGCAGACTGTGGGCAGTTCTTGTCCCCCTGCGTGACCTAACCAATAACTTCTGGTTTTATACTGATCCGATTAGTGCGCGACTGAATTTGAAGAGAAATACTCTGAAGCACCAGTCACAAAACATGCTTTCGTCTGTGCGCACATCGCACGACCGGATTTTGTGCCGAAGTTCTATAACGATCATGCACAATTCCTATTTTTAATGGTTTATTGTTCTTGGATTTCGTCTGCAGCATAGGTTTGCTCAACATTTGTGGGTATTTTGATCATATACTGATAAACGAAACATCAGTGAGGTTCCACAACCCTTCAACGAAGATTGGTTGTGAATCCAAAACCCCTTGGGTCAATGTAAAATGGACACGAAGGGTTGGAAATACTTGTTTTATCTTCGCGTTTCGCGCATGGAAAGTTGCGTACTTTTCACTGGGACTTCTCTGTCTATTTAAGTGCTTTGTCATGGTCGTTTCCACCTGACCAATCCCTTTGCTGCCTCTCACTAGTCTTGTTTACCCTCGAGCTTTTTTCGAAATTCTTCGGTGCATTCATTTGGATAATCTATTTCAATAGAAACACTTCTTGAAGAATGCCCGCCAGACGTCGCAGATTAATTGTCTACCAGAGGATGGGCTCGAGATAGCTCGATTGTTAATGTGCGGACTTACCAGAAGGTTTGTGGTTCGAACCCAATCTCGACTTCTCGACTGCTGCTGTCTGGACTCGGGCAACCTTGGGTGTCATGGCAGTTAGGCACAGGCAGTGTGTTACAGCTGAACATCCTTGTGTATACTGATCCGGACAACGCCAGCTCCCCCTCTTAGGTCATCTCGAGCGAGAACCTGGTACCACAGTGCTGAACTCGAAAAAGAAACACAAAAAAGGAATTGGCCCTTTTTGTGTGAAGGCAGACGCCTAAACAAGGATAAGTACTACACCGCACACTTAAAATTTCAGTATCAACGACAGATATACATTCTTTTTAGATGTCTCCTTTTTTACTAACCTCCCTCTATTTGGTACGATCGATTTTGCGTGGAACTTTATTGGCCACATCACTTTGACAACATTCGTTATGTTTACGATCTACATTCAACGTACAGATAAAGAGATGGGATCGGATCTCTGTTTAGCTCCCTATCGGCTGCCATTTCCATCTGCAACTATTGATGTTGCGTTTTAAGCCTCGTAACCAAACAGCCTTGCTTTACAGACGCTATGTTGGCACACTATTACACAGGAACGACTTCACTGATTTACTTACTATTTAACAGTCCTATTTCATGCGGAGAGTGAAGCAACGGTGATTTGCTGTTAATTCACATATTACCGATTCGATGATTGGGCATACTGTTCAGAAACGGCTATAATACTTGTCTATCTGGACGGCCAGCACTCGAAATTTCACAGTTTTGTGTGAATGCACCGTAACCGGAACCGGATCAAGCGTCCGGTAAATAGCACGTACGTTGAAGAGGAAAGGAGTTGTATATCGAGGTTCCCGAGAGAACACGAGTACTCGGATAACCTCGTACTGGGACATGCAGAGCGAAAGAAATCAGACAGCCCCAAAATTTCCTGTCTGTATCAAGCTGCCTTGCAGAAGTGTCTGTGAAGCCATTCCGCGGAAATCAAATGAGTACTCGGGTGAATTCTTACTGGGACATGTAAAGCGAAAGAAATCAGGCAGCCCCAAAATTTCATGTCTGTATCAAGCTGCCTTTCAGAAGTGCCTGTGAAGCCATTCCGCGGGAATCAAAGCTTTCTTAAGGAAAATATTTTGCAACTCACAGCTTGGGATTCACTTCGGAAGTGACTGTGACTACTGACATCAAGTGTAATTTTCTCTTAATAGCTGTTCCTTGATCGGCAAATGTGACGCAAGCCCAGGTAGGTTGTCCAACTCGATGCGTACATCAGAAAACGGCTAGAACGGCATATGTCCTACCTTATTCGATCACGTGCAAAACACGATAGCAGCTCATCTAAGCAGTACGAATTACCGGTTCAGTCTGGTTGAATCGTGACTTACTAAAGTTCACTCACTCGTTCTGAGGTCAAAACGTAGCAGCCGAAGCAATCACCGTTCCAGCTGTTTTCTTTTCAAACCATATTGCAACTATGTTCCATCGAATTATCGTGGGTATATAGACCATATATTGCCCAAAGCGAGCCAAGTTCAGTGAAAACGAGCCGGTTGCTGTTAACCGTTTGACCTGTAAGTTTGGGTCGATAATATAGAGCTTGTTCACTGTGGCATTTCTTCTTTGAAATCAAGTTAGGTGTTTGAGTGAAAATACTTCCCTGCCACCGAAGCGGCCTCCTTTGTAGGTGTTGTTTCTTCTTGTGGGGTTTGTTAGCAGAAGATGGTGCTGTATTTCGCTTAGCCAGTGCGGTTACGCACTGATCTAAAATACTTCAGAGAGGCGAGATGATGAAGTGGTTAGACTTTCGGTTTGTCGTGCGGGGACGAAGCGCTGTTTATAAACTAATGTAACCTTAACCAACCGGATCGATCATCGCGCTTACAGCATAAAAGTCTCAGGACACAAGGAATAAATGGATATCTGGTTGCGCTTTGGATGAGTAGAAATATCGCTATTTACGCGGTCCGCTGCTAGTGATGATGTCATTCCCGCACGACGTAACTGGATAACTGTACGGTCGCTCGCCATCTTATTCACTATCGTTTTGTTTTGCTTCATCAGGTGCCGGTTGAGAACGTGTTGGGTCAAGTTGGTGACGGATTCAAGATTGCCGTCAACATATTGAATCAAGGTCGTTTCGGAATGGCCGCTGCTCTGTCCGGTACGATGCGTGCTGCTATTCAGAAAACTGCTCAATACGTCGTTCAGCGTAAGCAGTTTGGGCGAACGCTGAATGAGTTTCAGAATGTCCAAGAAAAACTGGCAAACATGACAATGCGCCAGTACGTCGCCGAGGTAAGCCAATTGAGTTTTAGGCATGAGAATGGCGCAGTAATATGTAACACCTTTTTCCAGTGACTTCTGAGACTACCACTTGTTGGCTGTCCCTGGGGGTCGTTCTTGGGCGTTGTCTTTAAGTATTTATGTTGTATGTTCAGGGGAGATTTGCCTGGGTGGAAAAATTCAGAAAGTATTTGTATTAACTGCTAAAGTTAATTCATTCCATTAAAGGCCTTGGTTCACTCCAGTCACCGGTACACCGCTCTCTCTTTACAATCCGACTTACGCATCAAGAAGGCAAGAAAACCGCCGGTTGTGAGGTGGATTTCTGGTCTAAAACTGACCACATGGACAAAAGTGCAAATCACTCAGTCAGAATCAGTGCAACACATGCATCAATACAACAATCGACCTAGGAGCGACATGGCTCAAGTGGTTAGAGCGCGAATTTACTAACCGGAAGGTCCGTGGTTCGAACCCGACCTCTGCCTCTTGGCTTCCCCTGTATAGGTTTGGGCAGCCTGGCAGTATACCAGCCCTCGTGCTCCCTTCGGGTGGCATGGCAGTTAGGCACCGAAAGTGTGTTATAGCTGAACGGTTGTCTTTTTATTTTAATATCTTTTACTAGAAAAAAAACGGCATCCTACTCACAGCGTCCACAGTCACTCCTTAGTTGTGTCCACGGTAGCGCTCCGCTCCCATAATCACTCAAGGTATTAAAACAGATAATTCGACCACGGTAACCGTACCAAATAGTTTAAGAGGTCACTCTTGCGTTACCGGGTGGGAGGAGGCGTAGCTGATGGATGATACAAGCTTGATGCATGAGTGAACCAGTGGACGTTTCTTCAGCCGTGTATTGATGATAAAGCATTCCGGACGGTGATATGGACGTTGGTCAGCCTCTGCTTGTCAGACAGCAACATTTGCCATAGTCATAAAGAAGACGGTGGTATGTCGGATTCACGAGGCAGCCGTACCTCTGTGTGTGGTTGTTTTGGATGGTAAAGAACGGAAAAGCGATCCCGGGACGAAAACGTCAGTCGTACTAGTGAGCGTGCGTCTGCACTGGTCAATTTCCGTAATGTTCGTGGTATCAGCCTACACTGGGACGCGAATTGGTGATCCCTTTGGTCATCCTTAGCTCGTAGACAATAGTCTATCACGACTAAGGTCTTTGTTCAGCGGATCGTCTAAGAAAACGTCGGAGTTCGTCAACTCCCCCCTGCGTTCACTGCTCCCATAAAACAAGTCACTGAAGATTTCAAAGTGAGACCTAGATACCATTTCGAAGGGAGCTAAGTAGTAGCCTAGCTTGATCCAACGAACTGGCAGTAAATTTGAGAAAGCTCATGGATAGCGACGATTGGTGCTGCTTCGTCGGGCCATGACTGCCGTTTTCCTTTGTAAACGCAAGTTTACGCGTCTGTGTTTGATGGTCATTCTCACAAGTGTATCTGATCTCTGTTGGTGGTTTTCTTTCAGTCCATGGCCTTCATGATTGCCGGTTCGATGGATTTGGGCGCGCAGGATTTTCAAGTTGAAGCCGCCATAAGTAAAGTCTTTTCGGTCCAGTCTGGTTGAATCGTGACTTACTAAAGTTCACTCACTCGTTCTGAGGTCAAAAAACCATGGCCGAAGCAATGGCCGTTCCAGCTGGTTTGCTTTCAAACCATATTGCAACTGTGGCATTTTCCATCGAATTGTCATGGGTATATAGACCATACATTACCCAAAGCGATCCAAGCTCAGTGAAGAAGAGCCGGTTGCTGTTAACCGTTTGGGTCGATAATATGAAGTTTGTTCATTGTGGCGTTTCTTCTTTGAAAGCAAGTCAGGCTTGTTTCATCAATGAGTGATTGGGTAAAGAGGCCGCTCCCCACTGAAACTTCATCATTTGTAGGTGTTGTTTCTTCTTGTGGGGTTTGTTAGCAGAAGATGGTGCTGTATTTCGCTTAGCCAGTGCGGTTACGCACTGATCTAAAATACTTCAGAGAGGCGAGATGATGAAGTGGTTAGACTTTCGGTTTGTCGTGCGGGGACGAAGCGCTGTTTATAAACTAATGTAACCTTAACCGGGACGATCGATCATCGCGCTTACAGCATAAAAGTCTCAGGACACAAGGAATAAATGGATATCTGGTTGCGCTTTGGATGAGTAGAAATATCGCTATTGGATACCGTTAAGAAAATACACCCCAATAACTGATCCTAAAGTTCAGCTGATCAGAGGAGTTTGGTCTCTCTAGAGAGGAAGGAATGCACCTAAAAATAAGTATCTTTATGGCAGCCGCAACCAATGTAGGGCAATTACGCGGTCCTTACAGCTGCTAGTGATGATGTCATTCCCGCACGACGTAACTGGATAACTGTACGGTCGCTCGCCAGCTTATTCACTATCGTTTTGCTTGTCTTCATCAGGTGCCGGTTGAGAACGTGTTGGGTCAAGTTGGTGACGGATTCAAGATTGCCGTCAACATATTGAATCAAGGTCGTTTCGGAATGGCCGCTGCTCTGTCCGGTACGATGCGTGCTGCTATTCAGAAAACTGCTCAATACGTCGTTCAGCGTAAGCAGTTTGGGCGAACGCTGAATGAGTTTCAGAATGTCCAAGAAAAACTGGCAAACATGACAATGCGCCAGTACGTCGCCGAGGTAAGCCAATTGAGTTTTAGGCATGAGAATGGCGCAGTAATATGTAACACCTTTTTCCAGTGACTTCTGAGACTACCACTTGTTGGCTGTCCCTGGGGGTCGTTCTTGGGCGTTGTCTTTAAGTATTTATGTTGTATGTTCAGGGGAGATTTGCCTGGGTGGAAAAATTCAGAAAGTATTTGTATTAACTGCTAAAGTTAATTCATTCCATTAAAGGCCTTGGTTCACTCCAGTCACCGGTACACCGCTCTCTCTTTACAATCCGACTTACGCATCAAGAAGGCAAGAAAACCGCCGGTTGTGAGGTGGATTTCTGGTCTAAAACTGACCACATGGACAAAAGTGCAAATCACTCAGTCAGAATCAGTGCAACACATGCATCAATACAACAATCGACCTAGGAGCGACATGGCTCAAGTGGTTAGAGCGCGAATTTACTAACCGGAAGGTCCGTGGTTCGAACCCGACCTCTGCCTCTTGGCTTCCCCTGTATAGGTTTGGGCAGCCTGGCAGTATACCAGCCCTCGTGCTCCCTTCGGGTGGCATGGCAGTTAGGCACCGAAAGTGTGTTATAGCTGAACGGTTGTCTTTTTATTTTAATATCTTTTACTAGAAAAAAAACGGCATCCTACTCACAGCGTCCACAGTCACTCCTTAGTTGTGTCCACGGTAGCGCTCCGCTCCCATAATCACTCAAGGTATTAAAACAGATAATTCGACCACGGTAACCGTACCAAATAGTTTAAGAGGTCACTCTTGCGTTACCGGGTGGGAGGAGGCGTAGCTGATGGATGATACAAGCTTGATGCATGAGTGAACCAGTGGACGTTTCTTCAGCCGTGTATTGATGATAAAGCATTCCGGACGGTGATATGGACGTTGGTCAGCCTCTGCTTGTCAGACAGCAACATTTGCCATAGTCATAAAGAAGACGGTGGTATGTCGGATTCACGAGGCAGCCGTACCTCTGTGTGTGGTTGTTTTGGATGGTAAAGAACGGAAAAGCGATCCCGGGACGAAAACGTCAGTCGTACTAGTGAGCGTGCGTCTGCACTGGTCAATTTCCGTAATGTTCGTGGTATCAGCCTACACTGGGACGCGAATTGGTGATCCCTTTGGTCATCCTTAGCTCGTAGACAATAGTCTATCACGACTAAGGTCTTTGTTCAGCGGATCGTCTAAGAAAACGTCGGAGTTCGTCAACTCCCCCCTGCGTTCACTGCTCCCATAAAACAAGTCACTGAAGATTTCAAAGTGAGACCTAGATACCATTTCGAAGGGAGCTAAGTAGTAGCCTAGCTTGATCCAACGAACTGGCAGTAAATTTGAGAAAGCTCATGGATAGCGACGATTGGTGCTGCTTCGTCGGGCCATGACTGCCGTTTTCCTTTGTAAACGCAAGTTTACGCGTCTGTGTTTGATGGTCATTCTCACAAGTGTATCTGATCTCTGTTGGTGGTTTTCTTTCAGTCCATGGCCTTCATGATTGCCGGTTCGATGGATTTGGGCGCGCAGGATTTTCAAGTTGAAGCCGCCATAAGTAAAGTCTACTCATCAGAAGCTGCTTGGTATTGTGTGGACGAAGCGATTCAGGTGAGATGATCTTCAGTATTTAGTTATCTGTTGATTTTTCCGCCAATTTGTTTGCTTATTTCGAAAGACGCTATCTTGACAGATCTATGTGGTGGTGGGCTGTCACTCAGCTTATTGGTTGTGGATCAGGAGGCTGTTGATCTGTTCGCCAGGCTCAAGTGGTTAGAGCGCGAATTCACTGACGGAAGGTCCGTGGTTCAAATCCGACCTCCGCCTCTCGACTTCCCCTGTCTAGGCTTGGGCAACCTGGCAGTATCCCAGCCCTCGTGCTTCCGTCGGGCAGCATGGCAGCTAGGCACCGGAAGGGTGCTACAGCTGAACACTCAGGCTTGGCAAACGTCTCGTCACCGTACGAGGGGACATCATTAGTGCGCAGTGACGATGTCTACCTCTACGGTAGATCTTATGAATGCCAAGCCGTGGGATTCGAACTTAGCTGTGGCGCATACAATTGACATGTCGTTCAGGTTATTGCACTAGGTTCGAAACTACTTGACGAGTTTTCACTCTAAAGTGCACAAAGTGTCCTTGTTCGCTGCAGTCTGCAGCCAAAAGGGCCCCACTAACCCTACAGGATTCTCAGGCTATTTCGATTTACTGCAAACGTGATTAGCTGACCTCCAAGGCTAACGGACACTTCGGTTGATATCACTCGACAGGCGACCAAAGTTTGACGGACCATTCGTTTATTCTCATAGAACCAGTACATGTTCATTGTAATTCCGCCGGCTGAATACCGAGTAATTTAGCGGTGTCATGGGTTTTGCTGAGTAAATCTGTCTCTCATTTATGGCGAGGTTTTCACAGCGACTTCGTACTCAAAACTCATCAAAAATATGGTGCGCGCGACTGCTATCGATCAACTGCAGTCACCTTTCAGTCCACTGAAAGTGACTTACATTTTTGAGGCATCGGGGTTTCTATGTTTTGCAGTGGTGCAAACAGGCCATGGTATTTTCCTCAAATGACGTATTTCAAAGTAGATGCTGTTGAGAGTGACGTCGCGGAGTGACTAAATGAAAGAATGCGATTATGCCACACCCAGTGTGTGGTCCAAGATTTTGTGATTGCATTACTTGCCTCCGTGTTAGGGTTGGTGAAGCCAGCGGTCGTGAAACGAAACATCGGCAGCACATATCTACTAGGGTTACAGACTTCAGGGTAAGCTCCGTTAGACGATCGACTTCAAAGGCGCGGCTTATGGTTTGTGAAATTTGCAGAGCACATTTGTACATGCGAACAGCATGTTGTGCATGTACAATCGGCGCAGTCGTGGTGACGAGGATGGTGAGCTCTCTAGAAGGTTCCTCACAAAAGTGGTGTTCGGCAAGGATGTCCACTCCCCCCCGTTCTTCTTGTCAATCTGGAATACGCAGACGATATCGTCGTCATCTTTGAAGACGAGGGCGAAGCACAAGTCTGTTGAACGAACTAACCACCACTTTTCTGGCATGCACCTTGCACCTTCAAAGTACATCGTCATGCTTCACAACATGCAGCCTAGCAGTTCAAGGACAATCACTGGAGGTCGTGGATAATTTCACATATCTCGGTAGTTGTATTAGCTCTGACGGAAACGTATCTGAAGAAGTCAGTGAACAAATCTCAAAGTTTGGAATCACGTTTGCTAATTTGCTTCACGTGTGGAATAAAAAAAGAATGCCACTGAGTCTTAAGGGTAGCTTGTATCTTGCTACAGTAAGGGCTGTATTGTTGAATGGTTGTGAGACATGGCCTCTTGGGGCAGTTGCTGTGAGGCGTCTTCAGATTCTTTACCAATGCTGCCTCAGAAGCATTGTTGGTTTTGGATGGCGCCAACGGAATCGTAACGAGGTAACTGGAAAGCAGGTATTTGGTTGTGCAGCAGGTACTTCAATCCGGGAAAACATCCAGCACCACGGACTACGATGGCTCAGTCATGTGCTACGCATACCGAAACACCGTCTACCGAGACGAGTGTTGTTCTCCGTGCCTGCTTCAGAATGGCGCAAACCGCGAAGTGGGCAACGTGTGAAAGAGATGATGAGGAGTTTGGGTTCTGTTGGTGCGTCCCGCCTTCCCCTCCTACTCAACCTACGGTTCCACTCCATCGGGTTGCAGATGCAACTCAGCGTAGACAGAATATCGTGGGAGTGCATCGGCGAAGCTTGGTGCAACAAGCACTTGAATCGTACGGAAAAGCAAACGAAAGATTTCCATAAAGTACTGGAAGGAGCGTTGGTGCGTGGACTTCCTTCTTCACTCAGTGCAATCACAAAGTAACAAAATAGAAAAATTCTGGTTTATAGTGGGGCAGATGATCTGCTTCTACCCAACCATCAACATGACAAATCAATAACAAGATCATGTGTTGTCAGTAGGTGTCACGTGGTTTGGTTAGGTTGTGCCTCTGAACTGTCATTTCGGAGCCATGCCAAGCGTAGTGTGTGTATATAAGCTACATAAGGTATATATAAGGTATATATAAGGTAAATAACAGCTAAATTAGGGTGCTCAATTGCCTTTGGGTGATTCGCGATACCTTGTAAACAATTTTGGTGTTTGGTTTCGATTAAAGGAATCACGGCAGCGCTGAAAACGCTTCTTCCAAGCCAGGCCGGATCGTGTTCTGGATCCCGTACGGCCAAGCGCCTAGTTGTGCGGCCAACGTACTCTGCCGCGCAATAACACGTGTATGAGCATGTATGGATTGGTCTTGCCCAGGAAGCCTTTCTTTCAGTTTGAGGGCGGCTCTCTATTAAAGGTGGCCTCGTTGAATGACAGTTGGAATGGTCCACTGCGGCAGGCATTTTGGGGTACAGCGCACCTATTCAGCCGCATAGCCCCCCCCCCCCTATAAAAAGAAGGGGGCGTCAATGGTCATGATTTTCTCCGTGAAACTCGTCGGCTACCTGTCTTCTCTGAGTATGTTGATAATAAATACTACTTAGCTTTCTCTTCCGAACGTATCATCCTTGCTTTCGCAGACAAAGCGTTTTGTTTTTCTGTAAAAACACAAAGCAAGGGAAATTTCAAAAGCGCACCGAGCACGTGACCGTTTATCGTGATGACGATGATAGTGAGCTCTCTACAAACTTCCTTGCAAAAGTGGTGTTCGGCAAGGATGTCCTCCGTTTTTCTTGAAATTGGTGCCGGGAGAACCTTGTCAATCTGGAATAACTAAATGATGCAACTTTCACTTGATTGAATCAGGCCTGGGTCGTACGTAGTTGCGGAATTTGTCGAATTTACATTCGATTCAATCTTTCGTTTAAACAGTTTTCCTGTCCCGAGGCAATTGTTCTGGGAAGTCCATACCAAAGGGGATCCGAGTTTCGCTCTTATTAGAGCTCGTCCGCAGTGGATATCCTTGGCCATGCTAGGGTTTGAACTCCGGACGTCTGATGTGCGAGGCAAGCATGTTACTACTGATCCACCAGCGCACGCTGGACGCACCTGAATTTTCGTGTCTGAACAGGTGAACGTGTTCATGCTTGAGTGATGTGGTTACCCGACGCCTCGAACCGCTACCCAGTAGTTGTCCTGGTTGTGTCGATCGGTTGATCCGCTTGTCAGAGATTCCAAGTCAGGTAGCTCCATGCAGAGCGTGGACGCGCCATTATCCGAGTGATGCGTAATGCATAAAGCTGTTATTCAGGCTCTCATCGACTTTCGGCGTTGCCTCGGTGAACTGTCCCAACTAAGGAAATCATTTAGCGGTAACACCCTTTCGGTTCCAAGCTTCCATGCTACAAGAAGCAAGCACGAAGGATGAGATACTGCCAGGTTGTCCAAGCCTAGTCGGGGGAAGTCGAGAGGCAGAGGTCGGATTCGAACCACGGACCTTTCGGTCAGTAGGTTCTCTTTCTAACCACTGAGCCATCTCGCCCCCTTGTAGCACTCAAGCTTGACCACCACGTCGATGTGGCGGGTTCAGGTCGGCTGCTGCCAATGTTCCTCCCTCTCCAGATCATTGGTGGACAAACCTTCCGGTCGTAGGTTCTCTTTCTAACCACTGAGCCATCTCGCCCCCTTGTAGCACTCAAGCTTGACCACCACGTCGATGTGGCGGGTTCAGGTCGGCTGCTGCCAATGTTCCTCCCTCTCCAGATCATTGGTGGACAAAACGGTAGCAGCTTTAACCAATGTACAACAAGCACACGATTTTTTCCGCTAAAAATGGTGATAATGCTAGTTATGATGGGGGACTGTGCGCGTGGTAAACGTATGAGTCAGGGGTGCTATCTTCCCAATATAATGCTGGTCGATATCACAACCAATCCACTTTGTTCCAGCTTCACGGGGGTACTGGGTACATGAAACACGCCAACCTGGAACGAGTGTTGCGTGATCTCCGCGTCTTCCGCATATTCGAAGGGGCCAATGATGTTCTGCGCTTATTTATCGCGCTCACTGGGTTGCGGTACGCCGGCAAGCATCTGGCAGCTGCCAGGAAGTCTCCAGTGGGCATCGTCCGACTGGGAACACAAAGGCTCAAACAGTAAGTTGTACAGTATAATTTTTACTTTCTCCGCTCTTAAATTAGATGAGAAGTAACTTCCCAAAATACTGCTGCAAAGAAGAGGGTTGTTCGGCCTCTCCCAGAATATCGCTTCTCCTGAGACAGTAGCATACCGGTGAATGCTGTTATGGACTCCAAGGGAGCGATCTCTCCTCGAAGGATGCATCTTACGGGGTTCCTGTATAGTCAGGCTGAGTGTGTCTCAGTGTTTGCCAATCTCCTCCTGATGTATAAATAACGAGTCATTGGTCATGTGTGTGACCACACGTTGGTTGGAATTTCATCTCGGAAATCGGTCAAACTGACATCTATTTCGTTCGCTCTCAGGTCAAGATTCCGCATTATTAGATCTTGTGTTCCCACGAAACAAACTGCTTCCGGCCGTAAACCTCTTAATCAGACCGGTGTTGCAGGTAGGATACCGAAATTCACTTATTCAGATTAACCATGCCGACAGCATTTCTCATGTTAGCCTGATCTAACTAAAAAACTCCCACTATTGAACGCATATCCTATATACACTCACATTCTCAAGCCTGAGTGCCACCATTGGGGGCGATATGGTTCAATGGTTAGAGCGCGAATTTACTGATTGGAAGGTCCGTGGTTCCAACCCGACCTTTGCCTCTTGACTTCCCCTGTCTGGACTTGGGCAGCCTGACAGTATGCCAGCCCTCCTGCTTCCTTCTGGGAGTTAGGCACCGAAAAAGTGCTACAGCTGAACGATTTCTAATCTATCTTTCCAGACGAGGAAGGGGTTGAAACAGGCGGTGCTCGTTCATGTTTGTAGGCAACCACGCAACACACGTCGAAGCATCCATTTCTTATTCGTTTGTCTTTGGGGACCGGAACAGAGTGTTGTACCTGCTTGTGCTAGCACTCTGTATCTCTTCAATTCGCACTGTCCAACAATGAGCGGGTATCGACTGCGCGTGCTCTTGCTCAATGTGATTCGAAGAAGAGTTGCGGTGCGATGCCTGAACTATTGATAGTTGAAAAGTTAACCTTTGTAGTGTGCGTAGTGAGGAGCTTCTGAAACAGTGCGTTAGGTAATTTATGTATCGAACTGGGATCATGTTTGGGGTATCCCGTCATCAATACCGAATTTGGCAGTCCCTAGTGTTGGGCTTCTTATCCAAGACCACTTTATCAATACCCTCCCCCCTTGGTAGCCAATTTCTATCCGCTACCTAGAGGTTCCGCGATCACTGTTGAGCTATTCTGATTCAGTAATAGCCGTGGGTTGCACGCTCGGCTGTCAACTACTGCCATGCCTGGACCGATTCCAATCACGCGAGCTCCACACCACAGCTCCTTGTCACACTAACGCCATGGGGACTAATCACCATACAAAAACATTCGTTTACTGTTATTAATTGATTAGAGCATGTCTAACCACCCCTTCGTCATGGATCTACATTGTTGTCGTTGTTCTTTTTTGCCAACAACACCAGTAATTTTTGTGTTATGTACGGTGTATTCGAGTTTAGTGGAATAAGTTGCACTTGTCACGTGAACATTCATGTCGACCTCTGACGCGTGACATTTACCGTGAATAAGGTTTCATAATACTGAAGTGATTTGTTACCATCGGTCCAACAAAGTTTGTTGGATCTCATCGAATTGATGAGCACCGACTGCCTAGTATTCCTATACAGTGTTATCGACCACCAACGCCTTCAGCTCACATCACTGCTCGTCTAAACGAGGCGTGATCTTCCATCATCATCACTCTCAGCCGTAATAACCGCGTACTCGTCATACAGTGGTTGTAGCTCCCGCAGTTTCGTTCACCAATAACTCGGGGAGGTGGGTTAGGTAGCTGCGCATTGGAAGCGGGAGCTGATAAATTGGTGCATACATACGGCACCATGTTGAATGGGGGGATTGGGAAGGGAGCTATACATTGAAGGCAATAGCTTGTATAAATGAGCTCCATTGAGGGCGCGACTGTGCCATGGTTTATCTTTCCACAATTCGTTTCCGACCCCGTACTAATCCGCACTGAGAGAGAATGGAAGTCCCGTCTGATTCCCAGTACTATAATGCTTGTTGGCCTTTGGGGCCTTGGTAATTTTTTTCCTCTGGATGAGCTGGCGAATGATCAGGTGAAATTTTTCGAACCTGTTTCGCGTGCATGACGGGTAACGAGACGTCCTTTACTTTCCCAGGTGTACTTTCTTAAGAGTCCCGAAGTGTAACGAATATCTTGTCTAGGCTTGGGCAACCTGGCAGTATCCCAGCCCTCGTGCTTCCTTTGGGTGGCTAGGCACCGAAAAGATGTTCTAACTGAATTATTTTATTGTCGTTACTATTAGTAGTATTACGCTTTGCTTTCAAATTGTACAGTCATTGTAACCTTGGCGTCCTGCCATCCGGTTACGATTCATCAGTGTCTGATCTCTTCTAGACGATATTACGAATCAACCTTGCCCTGTATCCTATATCCCCGTCTTCAAGTTCTACTGGTGATTTTTATCAGTTGTTGGCTACTGGGTTTGCGAACAAGGCAGCTAGTCATGTGGTAACTAATTTCGGTCGCCTTCTTTCACTCACCTCGCAGCATGCTTACATATCATATGACCTGTTCCTCCCTCTTCCGTGCTTAGCAATTTCGGCTTCGGTTCTGGCCACACTCTTAGCAACTTAGTACCCGCATCGCTAATCAGTGTTGGCGAACATCTGGGCGACTCGATAGACCTGTTTGGTGAGGAGTGCATGATTCTACTCCGCAGATACGGGAAAGATGTTGTTGAAGAACAGTTTCGTCTTATTCGACTGGCCGATGCAATCGTGGAAATCTATGCAATGATGTGCGCACTATCCAGAGCTACGATGGCCGTGAAGGAACATTCGCAGTTTGCTGAACATGAAGTGCACTTGACAAATGCGATCTGCCAAAACGTAAGTTCTTATTGTCCGTCTTGTCACCCACGGTTGTTGTTGATCTCAAGTCCGAAGCACTTTGTGGATCCATCTGGTCAGTTTTTTCCCAGTTCCCAGACGAGATAAGTACGTATTCCATGTAAGGTGCGTGTAGAACCTTCTTCTGGCCATTTGCTGATGAACCAAAGGTTCTGAGTAGGATTGACAGCGCAAGTTCCCCATCCGATAGGGCACCTAGACGCAACGTAGAAGTCACTCGAGAATATACATGGCGTCATTTGAAAGCCTTGAAACAATCTTGGTCTCACCGATGCTCTCCCATCTAGAATGTAGTAATCAGGTGCTAGTATCTACTTCTGGTACTCTCTGCCAATGATAGAAACGATGTCTGGAATATCTTCCAATCGGTAATAACAGAACTGACATAATTAGGACATGGGGAATAAAGTCGCTCTTGTTGAAGTCGAAGTGTCGTTTATTGTTCTAGTGTTCTAGATGCGCGCATCTCACAGCCTATCACCACGATGAGCTTACTCTGTGTTTACATTGAACATCGAGCTAACCGTCTTTTGTCTCTGATCCAGTTTATAGTGTTTACTGGTGTCCTTAATCAAGGGTAGCTGCAGAACCTGCCAACGATATACGATATATGTATACATATGTATACAGCGTTCTGTTTCCGTTGTGTGGTTATGTGTGCGCGTATCCTTTTCTCACCGTTGGGAAACTGTCGCTGTATGCATCTGAAAACGTACACATTTTGAAAAGAGAGGTGTTAGGACTGTCAAGTCCTAACGAAAAATTCTACCTTTTGCAATATTTCTCTGTGTTGTAGCCCCCTGAGCCGCAGCACTCTTTCTTCCATTGGTTCATCTGCAATATAGCCTATCTTCATCTGGTTTCCTTTGTCTTCTTGAAGCTTCCCCACTCAAGTACTAGACTATCAAAGTGATAGAATAGATTCCATCAAGCTCCTAAATCACCCAGCTAGCACAAAGACCCAACAGAACCACGCTTAGTTATTCCACTGGGTGTCACTGAACCCTTCTGGACTTGATTATGCATTAATATGGCGGTTACCAACCTTAACACATGTTTGAGCATCAATTCATGAACACCCTAAATGTTGATCTTATGTAATGTGATACTGTCCGATTATATTCTAGCTTCTTTCAGTCGTTTTTAATGCAAGTGTAAGCGAAAAGTAAGCCTATGTTATCACATATCACCGTCCCAAGAGGTCACCACGAACTGTACGAATCTGTACGATAATTCACATGTCCTTTCGAGATCACCTTAGCAGGGCTTTTTCCAATAGGAGTATGAATTTAAAATGACATGAATTAAACTCTGAAGACATCTTGTATGATGTCCAGCTTGTTTATGAGAATACCCCTGTCTAGGCTTGGGCGACCTGGCAGTATCCCAGTCCTCGTGCAACCTTCGGGTGGCATGGCAGTTAGGCACCGGAAGGGTGCTACAGCTGAACGATTTTTTTATGAGAATACCTAAAACTACGATGAATGCAAGCTATACAATCAGTGTCGCTAAATGCACTTCACCAAATACTGAGTTCGATTTCCCCGCCCGTTTTGGTGAGTAGCACTTCACTGATGCTTGAACTCGGGGGTGAGTGAAAGTCTTTGGCTCCGTGCAGAACTTATCTACCGGTGAAATGAAGAATGCCTTCGCTGCGGAGTTATCTATCAGAAAATGCCAACTGACTAGTTACAGATTACTGGACAGGAAAGCAAAACTCTCATATGCATCTCAATTACAGAAACTGAATATCCATCTTCTCTTGAACGCGTCTTCCTGAACTTTCCTGAATATTCATTGAGTGTTGCTCAAGTCCAAGCAAATGCTGCAAAACAATCACACAAATCCGCAGTAGATCTCCCTTTTCAAGCGAATTTACAAGAAGAAAACATACTACTCGCATGCCTCCCCCATCAGTAGTATCATCGCTACACCGGTAGCTGAGCCAAAGGTAAAGTGAAACGCGCTGACAAACAGTAGTACGCTTGTGTGGCTGAACTTTTCGTCAACTGACCGCACCCGCTCTTCTAGCTTCGTTCATATCAAAATGAATAACGAAGCTGTGTATGTTGGGGAAAGATAAACACTGTGACAGTGGCCATTTAATACCAACTTCCCTATCCCAGCAAAGCAAAGAAGCAATTCAGTTACGTTGTATCCAGACGGCTATGACTCTTCGCTGAATAAATACCATTTACAATGTTGCTAAAGGCTTTTCTATAGCCCACGATCAGTTTCCTCCTTCTTGGGGCTCATCAGGTAGGTGCACTCTCCCCGAGTCTCCGTCAACCCTGCATTCCAGCTCCAACTGGGATTCAACTGAGTCACGCCGGTCACACTTTCGCTCCTAATTTTTCCCACTCGTGTAAAATGCTCCCGTTTCACTCGTTTATTTCCACAACATCGTTCACTTCAGAGTTCTAACGTGTTTCTCTCTTTTCGCCTACAGGGACTAAAGAAGGTCCATGAATGTTTCTCGGAATTGGACTCATCATATGATAAGAGACTGTATAACTCCTTGAGGTCGATCAGCTTTGACGTGTGCAACCACGGTGGAGTGCCTTATCACACACCTTTGGGTATTTAAGTCTACTGTTCAAAGTTAGCTGTACGCTTTTCATACCTTACTTGACCTACTCTGTGTTCTCACTCAGTGAGCTTCTACAAAACTGTGGCTATTTGTAAATTCTCATCAGCAACCGTTTATTTTCATGTGGCTTTTGTCTTTCCGCTTTCCCGTGATTGTCTTGAGAACAAGCGGTTCATTTGACACTTTATTTAGCAGTCGTGACTTGGCTTCATGACTAAATTTCTTCACGGAAACTTTATCCTCTAGATATATTGTCAACAACAGACCTCGACATTATTCGGTGGAACGGGCCGTGCAGTGTTGACCGGTGGCCGCTGATATGGTGCTAGCTGTCAAGCACAACTCCTTAGAACACACTGACGACGGGGTACTTTCTTCTGGAATCCCAGTTTCTACACTAGATTACAGCATCTGTGGGACTAATTCAGTTGACCAGCTTATTTAGGATTACACTAAATTAGTCGTGACGCAGGAAGATAGCCAACATTGGATAAGCTATTGGTTGTATCGTGGGTGGCCGTCTATTGGTTACGTCTGCACTGAGCCCGCCAGACTACGCGATAGGGAGAAGACAGTACGCTGGTCGTGTGTTGCTAAGCCGTTTGGTGAGAGCCGCCAACTCACCTGCCTTCCGGACGTGTCGAACCGATGATGACCTTGGGGATGCGTCACTCTCTGCAAGTGTGCTTTTTTTCCTGTCTGGGCGCGTCCTGACACCATTAGACTTGACTGAGTTGTTTTCAACCGAAATTTCGTCCTGGCGGTGAAGCCAGTCTATGTTGAAAAACTGCGGAGCTCCGTATAGTTGTTTCGTCCTTACTGGGAGTCATCAGCAGTACACACTTCATGAAACACCAGGGGGTTTCGGACCCTCCACCTCCCGTTGAATCGTATGCCTCGGTATTACGCCATCCAGCGACTCATAACTCAGCAGAACACCCGACAAGGTTTTCGGTATTCCGCTGATCGTCAACAAAAATGACTAAACTGTGATCCCCTTTCAGTTCACCTCGCTTTACAGGATGAAGGATTAGGTTAAAGCCTCAAACTGTTCACCACCAACATGCTACAACGATGCCTCATCAACGCGGGAATAAAGGAATTTAGGCTCTTTTCGGATGAGGGTACCCCTGAGTTCGTTTATGAGGGAGATGGGTCGTGGCATATCGTACGCTTTCCTTGCTGCTCTGGTTCTGAATAGTCAAATTTAAAAACCAGAAGGTTGGGTATACCCTAATACAGTTTATACTATGCAAGACAGTTTGCAGTTATAAATGCACCTTGTGTCATGTAAATACAATGCCAAAATGGAAAAAATCAGAAAGAGGCTTATCGTTTGAGCGTAACTGGTAAGGGTTTTTGAATGAATGTCTGGACGCGGAAGGTGTTGATGTTTCGTGGACCTGTGGAGTGCGGTGTTTCCTGTCTTGTGTCTGTGCGCGCGCGTCGAGTCGCATGCGTATCTATTGTGCGCAATGTGAAAGGAGTATTTTAGGACACGCGGCTATTCCAGACTGACATTTGAGTAAACCAAATAGCTTGACCTGTTGTGGGTCCAGGCCGTGAGTATGGCACTTCATGCAGGCTGTAGCAGCGTAAACAAAACGAGTGGCATGTTGTAAGTACGTTTTTCACAGGTCGAACCAGGCGAAGGGGGTGGAAAGTTAACTAAGCTCAGTTTAGCTGCTACATTTGTGTTTCGAACCTGAGCCCTGCATCGTGACTGTCTAGGCTTGGGCAACCTGGCAATACTCCAGCCCTCGTGCTTCCTTTTGGCCGATGGGCACCAAAAGGGTGTTAGAGCTGGACGCTTTTATTTTTTTATGAGTCGGGCTGTTGCGGTATGCGTAGAATTGGCCTTCACATCACTCTCGTTCGAACAGTCTTTCTCCTGTCCTAACGCAGTTTCTTCTGGTGAGTCCACACCAAAGGGAAGAAACCCGAGTCGAGTTTGGTTCTTATTAGAGCTCATCAGCCGTTGATATCTTGAACCTTGCCGGGTTCTAAACCCACGAGGGCACCCGACATGTTACCACTACACTAGCGCATGTTAGGCACATCTGAATTATCACGCCGGAATTGGCGAACGTGTTCACGGGCTGTGTGGTCGGTTTGTCCGAAGACTCAGTAATTGTCCCGGTATGCGATCGATTAACTCGCTTGTCAGGACTCCCCAGTCAGACGCTTGAAACCCACTGAACAATTTTTGCCGAGTTGGGGGTGTATTCGTGCACAAGTTATGGTAGCCGTAATACAACTCAGAAGGTGTATGCGCTAATGACAGTTTTTACTATGGTAGATGGTAGTTTACAGTTACCAGTTGCATGATAGAGTAAATACAATGCGAAAGGTGGGGTAAGTCAAAAGGTGACACTTATCGTTTGTGGATTACTGGTCAGAGTTCCTGGGTGAATGTCCGGACGGTGGGAACGTGTTTTCTCCGCAATATGCCTGCTACACGTGTTCCGTAATTGTCCGAGGACTTGTGGAGCGTGGTTGACTTCCTGAACGCGCGCGTGTGTGGTGACTGTGTCATGTCTTCCTATATATGGGAAAGTTTGATGTGTGGTTCCGACGCGTACAAGACGGAAACTGAATTGTCGGTCTAGGTTGCGAGCGGGACAGGGTTTCGTCACGTGATTTGAGTACTTGGGGAACAAAGGAGTTTCGTGATCTAGTGAGCACGAATGTGTATTAGATAAATCAAGTGAAGTTCGTTGAACAAGGAAGTGACCGCTACAAGTGTCCGCGGGATTGCAGAGTGTATGCTCACATCACTCGTTTGAAGAGCTATCCTTCTGTCCTGACACAATCATCCTGGGGGGGCTCTTGCCAGGGAAGGCGGAGACACTGTATACTCGTTTGGTTGTTGGTCTGTTCGCCGAGCTTGGCAGTTGGATTGCAAACGTTTGATCACCAATCGAGGTGACATCATCAGTGTAGGGTTGAGTGGGAGGATTCCCCCTCTTCTGCCTCTGATTATATAGCGTCTAAACAGTATTTGGTAGTTCTGGAGACCGCCAGGATACTACGACAGCATGCCATAAAAGTGGCCCACAGATCGACTGACACGTATACTCGTGTTTCGCGAAGTGGTGGAAGGATTCATTAAGCAAAACGGAGCTGCTACCCCGTCCTCAGAATTGCCTTAATCTACCTACCAGTTTTTCACCGACTCTGTTTGCTCCAGCTGTTCGCGCAGCAATGGCCACTATTCCAGCGATCCCCACCAGAAGGTCTTGGTTGGCATCAAAATAGTTGGAATTTTTCACGAAATCAGTTCTGAAAGCGCGACACAGTTACGTATTAACAGGTAATCCGCGGTTAGGGGGCGTTTAGTAATCGCAGAAGACAGTTTGCTAGGCAGTGAGTGACGTCTTGTAGGAAGGTTAGCTGTGATTTGGGCGGCAGTTGGGCGTGCTCTGTGAATTCTCCTTGTTGGTTCCGCTGTTGTATTTGTCAGTTAACCTTTGAGTAGTAGACTGTCGTGTTACATGAGCGGCGGGGAATGTCTGGTTTGTACTAATGGTGATGTGTTGACTTCCGTCCCCTGGGTGAGTGTGCAGCGATGAACCTGTGCCTTTCGTGAAGATGTTCGTCATGCGTGGAAATGGGTTTTCACGGGGTTACGTTTTTAGCCAATTGATACAGCTAGACGAGCGAATGTTTCGATTAACCCAATAAACTTTGAGTTTAGTTTCTGATAGATATCCACTTGCCTCTTGTTTACTAGGTGGCTGTTACTGAAGAGACGAACTGAAATAACCCGGAATTTAAAAGGCAATACTGCAGTCATCCGCCCACAAGTTTCTTCCAAATAAGCACCGCCCTTCCATCAAGGCCACCTATTTTACTTATTCATTATTTACTTATTTAGTTCCTGATTCCCCAAAACATTTCAAATGAAATGGATGGGAACCTTCTCTACAAAACTAACACTGTGTGGAATATGCTATTATTCGAATGTAACGTAATATGAACACGAGTACTCTGTCAATAGTCTTTCTCTCTGCATAAGTCAGCGGCGACTGGTTCTTCCTCGCTCAGTTTGCCTCAACTGAATGGGATACAATTTTGCGTGAATAGGATCTACAGGAATTTTCTGTCAGACGACAGCCCACAACGGTCTCTTTCCAACTCTGGGAATCTACGCTGAAGTGGATGGATGGCCACAAGAGATTCGTTTGTGGGTGCATAGCTCTAGAAGCATTTTAACGAGGAGGCGACAGGTTCTTTCAAAGTACACCTATCAACGTCCCAAGCAGTTGCAATCCTGGACCTGTGTATCTCTCTGGTCATTTACGTGAGAGAGCGTTCACTCGTCACTGCAGTTTTGACACCAACTGTTTTGGCATGGATCAGTTTCACTTGTGTGGTTCGGAAAGTCTATTTGCTTTGACCTTCGCATCGCACCGTTGATGGGCATGATGACTTCTTCGGAGGAAGAATGAGTTGGCGTAGCCGTCAACTGTGGCCGAGTAACTTGAGCTGCCTCATACTCATTGCAACACGAATTATTCGCTCGGACTTGGACGTGCCACTGCGAGTTAGTGTAGATCGATGTGCGCCCGAGATACTAAGGTCAACAGGCGATCTCGCATGTGCCTGTTGGTGGCCATCATTACAGTCAGTCACACCTCATCTAAACAACGAGATTCCGGGATCATCCATCAACTCCTGTACGCTCCAATGTGACACTACACTTCCCCCGTACAACACAGAAGTAACACCTGCTAGAGGCTATCCAGGACGAACCATTCCGGTTGTCACTGATGCGGCAGAGGCGTAGTTTCGTCCCTTAGGAACTGAATAAACTTACCTCAACTTGTTGTTGCTTTGCTCATACGTCCATTAGAGGAGAGTGGCTTACCGGTCCGAGCTGTAGTACTCTCATTCTGTTCCTAAATCGAAAAGTGCTCTCTATGTTTATGGATTTTGCCAGGTGTCTCTGTACAGCACCAGATTCCCCTGTGATCTAAAGTCACAATGATCGCTTAGTTCTATTTCTGTACCATGGTTTCGACCATTCCTCAACAGCCTATATTTCATTTGTCTAAGAATGCGATCCAGCGTTTCACATAACCTAACGATTACAGTTGGTTGTAAATGAAGGCGCACTCGATTCTGTACCCTTTATTCTTCTGGAGAACTTGAATATCCTGAATCCGGTCTGACCAGTGTGTGCACCACGGGCTTTATGTCAGATCGATCGAGCATTCGGCTGTGATGCCTGTATACCACCTATGTCTCGCGGTGGAACAAAAGTG